TGTCCGAATTCACCGATGTGCGTCGAGGAGACTTACAGATTCAGCGGAAATTCAGGGTGTCATAACACGATGTGTTAGACCACAACTAACTTTGCCAGCAGAATGCATAGCATTCTTGATAAGCGACCAGTGTTCACTGACATTATCAGGTGGGGTTGGTTCTAGCTTTTTAGTTGGCGCGTTTTGAAATACGGCTGGGCATGCTGGTTGAGATAACTTATCGCAGTCTAGCCGCCACTGTGTTGTGCGTTTAGGACGCCCACCGAAGCATATAAATAGCTTGGCGCAAACTAACGCGTGATCGCATTCAAAGATAGTGCTTCAGTACGATCGACAGTCTTGAATGCAACCCCGCCAGTTGTGGCTTATCGTTATGTGGTCTATCTGCGTTTGTCGCTGACTCGAGGAGGATGGACGCCAAGTAGCTTACCGGCAGTTGGAGCGTCTGAAGTTCGTACTGTCAAGGAATAGGCGGTGGTCAGAACATAGAGCCAGCAGCCGTTCTCCGTGTTCCGAGCCACAGGAATCTAGTCCGACAGGGCCACCCAGATGCCCCTCACTCGAATTCAATCGGCCTACTCTAACATTCATATTTCCTGCTAAAATCACGATATCAACTCGATTTGCCTTACGCAAGAGGTCATGTAGCTTTTGGTAGAACGTACCTTTGACTGTATCTGGGCTACAGTTCGTAGGTGCGTACGTTGAGACGACAAACAAGTTGCGTCTTTCGGAGCAACGAATAGTTAATTTGCACGAGCCTCTTAGTCTCACTGCGCAAAACCTACTGTCGACTGGGCTCCAATCCAGGAGCGCGATTTCAGCTCCCTCACAGAGAGCCACACCAAAGCCAGCAAGACCAGAAGCCNAGAAGCCGCAACTTTAGGGTCCCCAGAAAGACGCTGGTGAAACCTCGTGGATGAGTTTGACGAGGACGTCAATCGGATGGCGGAGCTGGAGTCTTGAATGCGAGTCTCTTGGATACAACACACATCGATGGTTAGGGTCTCCAGCGCACGAGATAAACACGCCTGTTGTTCAGAATACTCACATTAAATGTGGCTAGTTTGGACGAGCATCGAGAAGGAAGAAGAGCTTCAACAGGTGGAGAAGGATTTGGTGAGACTTGGACGCTATTTGAGGCAGGATGTGATAGAATAGGGGCGCGAATCCCACCTGAGGCACAACCGTTAGTGCGATAGTCTGAAGATCCCGATGGCATTATAAATGTTTGAAAGGGATGAATGTGAAACGGGCAAAAATTTGGGAGACATGAAAACGAGCATTGTGTAGAACTTCTTCTCTGGGAGAAGAAAGCTGTAAGAGCGAATTATTGGAGAAGTTAAAGTTACTTTGTGTCTTGCTTGTATTGTGGTCTCCCATTCCAGAGTAGGCCTTTTTCGAGGATGTATTGTAGCCTTTGCGCAACCAAGTGATCTGCAAGGCAGATACATTGTTCCAGATGAGCCGGTGACCGGTCGGTTGGATCATTCGCCTCTTCTAGGAAACCTTGTCGGGTAGATATAACTTGACAAGATGCCAATGGCCATACTGAGTGGGGGCTACTCTCGCCACTGTTTTATGTGGAAAACCCTCGCTAAATGGTGAACCCAACACATCCTCGAGCATTGCCGCTGGTCGTCCGCGACCGCTTATTCAATAAACTTAAACACACCTTATTCACGGTTAACTGTGACTGACAATATTCAGAATATTGATCAGAATATCCCTATTCCGATAGGAATGTCCTAGATTTAATTTGCTCAGTCTATTGTAAATCGCTTATCAATGCCCACACCAACCTTTCACTAATAAGAGGTCTTATTGAGTTGGCCGTTCTTCTGGCCAACCGTTTGTGTCCTTTTCCAACGCCTTTTGCCAATGGTTCTTCTCCCCTTCTATCACTGCTCATAAGCAACTATGAGTTCAAATATAGCATTTGCAATGGCTACCAGCTCACCATAGCGAATCACAGTTGCATGCGAATATTTGCTTCCCTGTTGGATTATAAATGTAGTATGGCGAGGAATAAATGAAAAAAGCTACCTTTTCAACTGGAACATTTGGGGCTGTTGGTGCTCACTCAGGGATAATTCGGCGATAACCGAGTAGTATAAGTTGCCCCTATCACCTTGAGGAACCTAGATCATCTTGTCAAAATCCAAAAACAACTGATTCAAAATTCAGTTTGCCAACTGATTTTCACAAACGACCGAATCACAATTTCTGATTGCATTTTCGTTATTCTCGTGAGAGGGTGCTAATCAACTTCCTGTATTCTACCACCGATGTCTCCGAAGCATTTTTCGTGGCTGGTGGGAACATCGGGTGAGCAATGATGAGGTCCGTCGTCGTGTGTTGGATGTGGATAGTCGTTCTCTAACAGAAGTAATCGCTTTACACCGCCTCCGATAGCTTGATCACGTTTTGCGTATGCCTGCCCATCGACTACCTTTCCGTGATCTCTTTGCACGTGCCAGGCAAGGCTGGAAGAAACGCCGTGGAGGTCAGACCATGATATGACGTAGAGGTATGAAGAAACTGACCTCTGCTTTGGCATCGATTGGTGCCGCCCGCCTTCCAGTTTGGGGCCAAAGGAATGAGGATTGTAGTTGGTTAGAGACGCTGAGAGATATGGCCCAGAATAGAAGTCAGTGGCGCAATATCCGTACGGTCTGCCTGTTGAAATCCCGTCCCTCCCTTTCCTGAAAAACAATAAACTAACACAAAAGCTTCAAAAAATGTACAGTGAAACACACAAAATCGTTGTTGTCCTATTGATTTGCAATTTACCATTTTAACAATTTCGCCTTTTTTCCTAAGTTCGGTATCCCAAACCTGCCATCCCGATGCTGTTATTATTGCTGTGGCGTTGGCACTATGCTTGTCCGCAAGCCGGTGTGATATATATATATATATATTCTCGTTAGAGTCACGTTTCAGTTTGCTCTGCATCCCGATCATAATCCACACAAATGATAAATCCGCTAGCCCCATATGTGTAATCAGTCGATTTCGATGATTCATAGTATTTCAATGGCTCCAGAGTTCGTCCAAATCGGTTCGATGCAATCACTGTTTCGGAATGTAACCTTCAAAATGGTGAATATTCACACACAGAATGAATTGAGAAGACTGGTATGCCGGAAGGTTGGTGTAGAATATCTAGAAACGAGCAGTCACGAGCTATTTCTCCCAGGTTATCGTATCAAACATGAATGTCAGAGCGTTCCACTAGGGAAACCATAAAATAAAAATGTGCGTTCACATATAATACCATATTGAACTATTCTGCGCATAGCTCTCTCTCTCTGTGACTGTTTTCTTGAAAAATACCGACACTGCTTTACTATTTACTTGTAAATTGAGAACCCGGTCAAATCTTTACCCGTATTCTAGTCGAAATCAAACTATATTCCTCGCTCTAATTTGCAATAGTTATAAGAAAAATGAAACAATTTTAGTCAGTCCTTATTGTCTATCCAAAAGGGATCCAATAACACAATAACTCGTCTATCCACCACCTTGAAGATCATATTTTACCCGGAAATAGTAGTTATAAATAACTTGATGCATGCATTAATATTTTTTAAAGGAATATAGTTTTTATTTATGCATAGCATGCTAAAAGGCACTAAACAGTGAGTGCTTCAGTACATAAAATAACCATGTGATCGATGAAACATGGGCACGCCCGTGAAAAGGCACATTTTAAACATGGCCCACAAGGGATATCTTCCGCTATCACTAGTCTTTGCTATTCTTATTTTAAAAGCTTCACTCGTCACTGTATGTTTCTTAACCTCCTCCGGAAAGTGGCCCCAAGATTATTAACCAGCATCAAATTCGAATCATTTATGTCTCACTGGCCTATGAGCAGGGTGTTTGGGGATTGTTATCTAGACCTCAGACTGGGTACTACAAAACTCTGGCACCGTTAAGTCATCACTGAAATAGGAATGTGAACAGCAATGTTTGTGCGTTTCGCCTTTCTATCTCGTCCCTCTTTTGGAGCTATCAGAAATGAAAAATATCATTTCACTACGCGGGGATAATTATTCAAATTCAGATTTCTATTATGGGAAATACTTACAAAGACTTCGCTTATCAAATCCGATAGGGTGTTCACACTTTGGGTTCAGCACACGGTTCACAAGATCACAATTAGTCCACGTAATGTAATGTTTGTGACGATCACAGGAATGTTGAAACATTGTTTTCCAGAAGTTATACATGGAAAACGATTCACCTCACACACTATGTTAAGGATAACCACCCATTGTGTAGACTTGTTGTAAAAATTTGTCTTATCATAGTATAGGAATAACGACTCCACATCTATAGCTCAGCCGCAGTGACTCAAATTGGATGTCTGCCTTTCATCCAAACCCAGTGTTAGAGGTCACTCGCATGCATATTCGGACACTGAAAATAATTCTCTGCATGCAGCTTGAACAGTTTGAGGAATATACATTTCGTCATTCTCGAAGCACGTTACTCATTAGAGTCAATTCACAAACAAATTTTCATAACTACTGTTCCATTTCCATTTCAGTTTATTACATTTGAAACAATAAACGCTAAATTCCTTGCTAACAAAGCTGGCCGACATTCATTTTACCTCCTATTGTTCGATCAGTTTAGGAGCAAGCGAATGAATAATTAGAACAGTAGGAAGGTATCTTTGCGCTGCTAATGCCAGATGGGATCTGAATGTCTCTCTCATCCCTCGGTTTCCGATCCACTTTGTATTTGTATTACGCAAACAAAGCGAGCAATTGTTTGAATAAATGACACAACAGATTGGAAAACCTGTAATATTTGATTATCCTCCTCCACTGTTCGCGTTTATCCAGCTCCAATCCAATGAAACCAACAGTAATTACGTGGTATAGAACAATTTCGCTTCAACCCTTATGTCGGGAGTTCGAACTTACTATCTGTTTAAGTCGTCTATATGCGAGAAATTAATTTGAACGATCGCAATCACCTAGCTGAGCTTCATTGTATACTTCCAATTGTTTTAGATTTCTTGGTGGTGAAGATTGACCAAGAGCATTCGATAGTTGTTTCTTTTAATCCAAAGCATTTGCCCAAACATCTAAGTGCCTCCCGAAACGTTTGGTCCGACATTCCAGTGCCGTATATGACAGGACGTAGTTCGGCCACAATAAAGAAGGTAGATGAAAGTCACGATGCTCAAGCATTGACTGTATCTGCTAACACTGGACTAAACTCCCTCAGTTACCGGACGACGTAACACATCCAAAAGCAACCAAAATTACCTTTACCCAAGAAAACCGTTATGCCTGAAAAGAAATTTATTTCCGGGGATAGAAAACGCACATTTTAGAACTCGTATAAACCAGAAAACTAAGGTAACTGGGCCATTAAGTGAACTATTTCAATGTTTGTTCGATAATACTGCACAAACACACGTATGGGAATAAGGAACATTTTCATCTGTGTACAAAGGCAGCTGTCGTAGTGACCCAGTTAACTACCGCCCCGTCACTCTTCTTTCCGTATTGTTAAAAGTCATGAAATCCATTGTTGCAGACAACATAATGGGTCACATGGAAAAATGCAACGTATCATCCCTATGGTAACCTGGTTTTTGGCACAAACGAACGTGTATCACAAACTTGCTTCTGACCCGAAAAGAATGGCAAAAAGTAGTTGATAATGGTATTGTCCCGGCTTTTACCAAGAATTTGATCGTGTGAAACATAAAATGTTACCGCAAAAACTTTATAGATACGGAAGTTAGGGACTAGTATTGGGTTAGACAGAATATTTTCTTCAACAGTCTATCGTGACAGTTCAGGCTTCTGGGTCACTATCTAGTCCGATGAACGTAGCCTGAAGGATCCATAGGGATCCGTGTTTGGTCTTCAGATTATTCTAGTTTTATAAACGATCTAACGGCTTTTCTGGGCCCACAAACGCCAAGGTTGTTTAGATGATGCAAGAATATGGAATATAGGGACATAACCTGAGTGTTAACTGCCACTTCATGGAACAAAAGATGCAGCTCACCAAAGATCGACACAAGATGACATCGAACTCATCGCATCGAAATATACGGTCACACCCCACCTCCACAAAACTCGGTTTCTGCTATTCCTTCGAAATCAACAACTTCCATATGCCTCGAATGAGAAGGATCTCAGTGTCATCATTCAAGACGAAATAAGCAGCGGGACTGATTGGTGCAGCGCGTTGTCCGTAGCTCTAAAACATGATGGGTTGCTAAATGCTCGCTTTAGCAAACTTGAACATACGTTGTTCCTACGTTTGTTGACATCCGACATTCGACCCCACGTTGAGTACACTACTCAAGAGTGGAATTCATGGCTTCAACCCAACCATAAATCTTCAGAACGTCCACAAAGAAGGGTCCGCAAGATGGTCAAAGGACTGCATTCCAAGATCTATTTGGAAAGACTAAAATCATCAGGGTTTCACTTCATCCATATTTGTTGAATTTCAAGAAACTTGACTTTGGCGTATCAGCCAATGCAAACCCGTGATCACCTATACCGTTCAATATTAAACTTGTCGTCCACGATTAATTGTTTCAAGGAGTGACTGAATGAATTAATGGCATGTCTTAAAGTTTGGCATCCATAGCAGTAGAGTGAAACAATGCGATATTGCTCATCTATCTTTGTTCGGTCAATCGATTCAGTTGTACCAAAAACTTTATGGAACAAGAAAAACAATAGTGTTTGAGTATTTCCTATTAACATCATTTGAATTCGAATGTGACGAGACTTTGGATCATCCAGTTGATCACTTTTGAAATGAAAAATCAGGAGTGTGTCACAATTAGTTCTGTTGTTTCGAGTGTTCAATAAATCAGCTATTTCTCGGTGTCAAACGTTTTAGTCCAAAGTAGACTAAGAGACTAGTTTTCCTTAGCATAGATATGACACGTGCTTCTATACTTCGAACTAAAATATTAAAAATACACTCTACACCTTTTGTTATACTCACCCTGCCGTCTGTGCCCGCTCCAAGCCGAATTGGTTTTGCCGGAGATTGATAATTCAGATTGCCCTCAAAATCATGCCATTTTTCATTTTGCTCACGTGATCTGACCGCGTTGTCTCGTGCCTCGCTTGTTCGAAGCCTTGAATCAGGTGATTTATCCACACCGATTGTCCGGTCTTCAACCGCGTTTGGCCGATCAGAAAATCCGGCTAAAACGGCGGTAGACACGTTTTGTTTTTGACGTTCAGCAATCTCAACCGCTTCGAAACGCACGCGCAGTTTGACTGCGGGTGCCACGTACTCCGTGCTGTGTTTAAACCAATCCTCTGATGTACCGCGACTCTTTTCCAAGTTTTCATGTGCGGCATCAAATGGATTTGATTGTAACATTGAAAAGTTACAGATGCGAAGTCGCTGTCACCCGGAATAACTACGAGGATCGACTCAAATTATGCTTGCTTTGCAATCTATTACTTGTTGGTTAACAGCTTATATATATTGTCTTGGCAACGGTGATGGATTGTTTTGACTGACCATGTGCTACCAATCAGATGTGACCAGAGGTAGCTTAGCAACAGTTAGTAGCTGCAGTATAGATCTGAAAACTGTATTAAACAAACCAATGACCTTGGGAACTTCATTTGTGTTTACTGGGGAATACCAAAACCTATTGAAAATTATTAACCGACAGTATTCAAATCAAGTAGATAAACAATCATTCAATAAGATATAAATTACAATGAGCAACTTAACGGGCAACCGTATTTTGAACTTTTTCTGATTCTAATCATTATGGAAAAACTCTATGCACTGCAATAAATTTACTAGTTTGGGACAAAACCATAAGGCCATTCGCCCATTGGAACACAATAGGTTGTTCAAAGAAAAACGAATGACTAAATTATTGTTGCGACAAGTCCCTGACCAATGTGGCCCGAAATATGAACCGCAAAAAATAATTCTAATATGTGTATAAACTTTGTATTGGATAGTGTAATAAGTAGCTGGACAAAATTTCCCTGGTGGCAACAGTTGGCGGGGATGGCCACTGATTAGGTTGGCGGGCATCCGGTAATCTCTCATCCAATTCTTCACACGGTTGTGCTTCACATGTGTATTTTTATCACAAATCCTTGATGACATATATTTATGTGTATAAAAGGTACATTAGTAATTCAGATATCGTGAAACAATCATATTATAGAAGGTTTAATTCAAAATTTCAATTTCACTACCACTCCCTTCAAACTGTCCAGCAGTCTCGGGTGGTGATCTGGTAGGTTTAATTACTACTGGTATCCGCAGTAGTTTAAAGACATTTCCGCATAGCAGCCTTTGAAATGATGACTTTGGGGTCTCGCAGATACCGATGCACCTATTCATATTCATATTCTGCAAAAGGTTAGTAGTATGTGATGCTATCAGAACCTGTGACTGCAAAGTTAATTACGTATGGACTTCACATAACTCATTAAGCGTGCAACTAATGTATGATTCTTATGCACGCAATATAGCGGCAACATAATGGAGCATTTCAGAACAGGATTGACGCCTTTCTAGTTTTTCGGTAATAGAATGATTAAAATTGATTTTTTTCCAGAATTATGGCACTGCCGAATTGGGATGAAGACATTGGAGTCAGGGGTAAAAATGCATTGGTAGTTTATAAAACTGGTATGCATCGGGAATGGCAAAGTACTGCAAATCCAATTTCTCTTATTATTTGGAAATTTCTCTCCCGATATGCACAACGACGCATGTAAACACAGCGCAGTATTCGGTCTTTTTCACCAAGTCTAAACAAACGAAAAGTAAATAGTTGTTATGAGTTGCATTCATTCCGTTTACTCTTGTCATTCGATAGAATAGAACTTAGCCGTTTTAGTGCTATTCATTGTATGTCACAAACGATTAAAAATAGTTTCGAATAGTACATGATTTTCCAACGATTGAAACTTCATCAGAATCTGCCAAATTTTCCAATTGAATCTATTCAATTTCAAATGGAAAAATCGTTGTGTATAGCAAATGAAGCAAGAACTGAAAAGCTAGGAGGCACTGGACAGCTATTTTGATCTAGTTGAGTCTCATCAGCAGGATGAATCTACCAACCCAACTGGGGATCGAACCCGGAACCTCCATTACTCACATGAATTTATGCAGTTCTATAGGTGTCTTGCAAAAATAATGAAATAAAAGTTTCCTATCCAATAGGGAGAACGTCAGGATGGTGCATTACCACAGACAATTGACCGGAAGGAAAAATGAAGCTTTCATTATATGCTATTCTCCAGTTGTGTTCTCGATAGCTTACAAACTGGACTTAGTGCGAAC